GGACAACCAAATAGTAAAGTAAATAGGTATGTATAACAAAATTACATAAAACATATCTTTTGTCTTTGGAGATCTTATTTGTTGTTAAATTAGTACTTATTTCGTAGTTTATAACAGGAAACATAATCGATTTCGATTTATAATTTGTTAATTTGTTGTAACAAATTTTACAATTAATTGAATTAGTTTTTCCCGTGTCTTCTATCTTACGTGTTGTTGTACATCTGATTCATGGATCCTTTGTCTCTTTGTTCAGTCAAGCAATGGAAGATAAGGTCAGAGGTGTAAATAATCATTACCATAATCCCAACCCATTTGTTAGAGCTTTCAATATACACTTTTGCTAACATAAACGCAACGTTCACTATTTCCCGGACTCTACCCCACCCATTTATTCCAATTCACTTTCTCGTTAAACCTATCCCTGTATAACCTGCTTGGCCGTCCGGGGTTCACTGATTATCGCTATTACCGTAATTATCGCGTTCATCGGGATTTGATTTCCGCATAGTCAGCTGCTTTGTCGCACTGATTGATGTCACATTAGGTCTGCAACATCATCAGTACATCTCAGTTAAGAATTTCCAATTTGGTGGACTGCTGCATTTGGTAGTAGTGCGGAATGTCTGCTCCGGTCTGCTCGTTTGGCCGTTTATAAACAGCATCCTACACGACATCAAAGTCTACCGAAATTCGGGCACGTCCTTTAGTTATGTACATTCGAATCAATTACCTGCATACAGCGTATTGGATAATTACACACGAAATTGAAATTAAACACGGGGATATTGGCGATGCGGGTGTGTTTGTCGGCGGCTTTGTGTAGCTCCGGGAAGAGGTGGGAAAAATATAAACAGTGCATTTAGAGGACTTTCATTTGCAGACTAATTAGTTTTATGAACAGTGAGGGTAAAGATCAAACTTGTTTAGTAGAACAACAAAACCATATTGGAAAATTAAATTTTAATTGACTATGTATTACATCAAAATTTCGAAAAAGTTCGTTATGTAGGTTCTCAGACAAAAATTGTAAAATTCCATTCTATTAATAACCTGTATGTGTAATAATAGTAAGGTTCAAAACATGTTACATTATTCTACTACTACTAAGAGAGCATGTTATAATATAAATTTCAAGCAATTATCAACTTGTTAAATATGTAGAGATACAAAATGTAGGAGCTGTTAACGTTCCCCCAAGGCAAATAGTGTAATAGAAAATTTACACATTTTTAGGATGACAAAATTATGTTTCACATTAACATCTTTCGATTTTATTTTTCAGGCTTTCTGCAACAAATTAATGCCGAAGAGGGTATTTTTCAGAACTCGGTTACGCTAAAGGCGCCTTGTTTAATTACTTTTCGCTTGTACATAGAGTCAAAAAAGGGCAGACTTGAATTTGGAAACAAGATAAATAATTCTTGGATGTTTGAATTCAATGAACGACTTCACAACTTTGACAGTTTGTTGAAATAAGTTTTTGCCGAAAATAATTATCTAGCTGGGGTGACAAAAACACAGCCTTCTCTGAATCACTTTATTTTCGAACGCTCTTGACATAAAACGTCGACTAGTTTCGTCAACAAGGCTGGAAACATCAAGAGAATTGAAAATTCACTAACTTAATTATTTTCTGTTCTCGGGGTGTTTTCATTACAGCTTACTATAATTCGGAGTGATACATGAATGCTTGTTTATTAATGTAAATTTCGTCACCTTTTCCAGGAGGAATACGAGTTTGACATTTTGTGTGGGCAGATTCATCAACAAAACGCGAAAAAAGCTAACAAAAAACGCTCGGTAGATATTGTGTTGAGTTTTACTTTCGGGAAAATGGGGTTTATTCAATATATATAATAGACATTCATTCATTAATTTTTTTGTCACCCTGTATAAGTAGTTAACAAAAATTTTTTTGGGGTGATAATCGGATAAATTTTGATTCACGATTAATAATGCCCACGACGATCTTAACACGTTTGCAAAATTTCCAAGTTTAAACAATTTTTATTTTTTTTTAATATGGGGGTCTAGGGCAAAAAGTCAAGGCTGATTCATAAATCACAAGTGGTATGTAATAAGATTCGATATTAGAATGTCGTATAATTTTAACAATAATCAAAAACTCCCACTATGTTCAAAGTTAATTAAATGTCAATTTTAAATTACCATTGTATTAAAAACCGCAATTTATTGTTAAGTTTTTTGTGTTTTAGATTTCATAATTAGCCCCACATCAAAGAAAAAAATTATAGCTGTTATAAACAAAATGTTGACGTATAACATTATTTATTAATTATATTGTATGTGTTGAAAACATTGGAAAACATTACAGAAATAATTAATTGTATGTTATTGACGTTTTACATGTTTCTAGTACATTGGAACTAGCTTTTTTTAAATAAAAAAAAAAAATGAAAATAAAAATACAGGGTGCCCTAATGTAGAATGTTCATTGATTTGACTCAGTCGAACAAATTTTATTTAGGACTAGAATTTACAATTACTTTCAAGGAAGTTACACACCAAAGCTGTAAGCTTTAAATTGTAACATTCTATCTATTTTTATAAAAGTAAAGTATTTATGAGAGAGGAAAAAATTACATCAAAGCAAAGTTGATCAACAGTTTTCAAGATATTATCATTTTTACATGAAAGCTTTCATAAATTTTAAAAATTCACAGCTCCGCCATTTTTAAAGATGAAGATTTGGAATTTTGTACAAATATTTTAGTTACGTTAGTTTCGTTGTCTTAACACACGTTTAAAAAAATTAACCACCTCTTTACACAGTGTGATTAAATTTGTAAATTATCAGTTGTCTCATGTCTTTTCGAACGAAACACCCTGTATTTTATAAACTTTTCCTAACTTGTAAGCGTTCCTTTGATATCAGGTTTATTGAAAAGTGTCTTTGTAATACATAACCTCAAAAACTGAATTTATTTATAAAGGGTAATTATAACCGCTTGACAATTTTTCCCTTTTTATAGATCGGACATTCTGTATACTATATAACACATTTGAATTTGCTTTTAAGTGAGCTTTGTTGGGGTTTATCGTAAAAATAAGTCCAAAAACCCACTAGGATCAACCATAACCAATCTAGTATCAAAGGAAGCTTACTTTAATAAAAAAAATATAAAATACAGGCTGTCCTATTTGAATAATATTAGAAAATTGACATTTTATGAACTTAATGCCGCTTTATAAATAAGTTGAATTTAATTTTTTAGAATTTTTAAATTTGGTTATTGTTTCTACAAAAATAAAAACCGAAATAATGTAAAACATTCTAAGTAAAAAACCTTTGCATTAATAATTTTCTCCTTTTTACTTCCTGAGCGTAAGCTAAGGAAGTATTGTAATCTAGCCTATTAAACGAGTGGCTACTTTTATGTTTTCTCGAATTTTCAAAACCCCAAGAGTACAAAAATAGGTCTCCCGTTTCTGTTTGTCTGTCTGGCTGTCGTCTGTTCAAATTGGACAAATAATTTCCAAAACTACTGGATTGATTGTTGTCAAATTTTATACGTGTATTAGGAACGTCGTGTAGATGGTAAAACGCTAACCAAAATTTGGGTAATCATCCCCACCAACAACAAAAATTTACATTAGCAATTTTTATTTAAATTTTATAAAATAAGATACTTCTGCATGTGACAATTATGAATCCGCGTTTTTATCCAAGACGTCCAGATTTTTGGAAAAAAAAATCAAATGCTATAACGAAATTTTACATTATAACTTTTAAACTGCAAAACCGAATGTTTTCAAAATTTGCAAGCGTTTTAAAGTAAGCATGGTAAGAAGTTAATGAAAAATTTCCTTCCTAAGAAATGATGTCATTTTATAGTTTTGCCGAATTCCTTAAATTTTCTAGAATTACATACCCCTGATGTGTGAGCTATGAACCTGTGTTAGGTTTTTACCGGACAGGTCCAGATTTTTATGAAAAAATTCAAAGTGTTATTTTACGATTTAACTTTGAAATTGTCTTGTAAATAGATATTTGAATGTTACTGGAAGCATGGTCAATCGTTAATCAGATTTTCTTCTACAATTTTACCGATTAAATTTTCCTCCAATTTTTTAGTGTTTTTGAAAAAACGTGCTAATATTCGAATTCTATATATATGTACTGAGAAATTCAGAATATCTACATTTTCCCGTTGGTTATCTGCTTTAAAAATTTTGGGGAGGTGTTATTACCACCACTAGTTTTTACTTTATAGAGGTTATCACAAAACGAAAATAGCAAAATCAAATTTTGTAATTTTTTAATGAAGCGGAATTCGTCGGACTGCTTTAAGAGCTCCATTTGTTTTTAATAACGACCCTAAATTTGTAAAAATATATAGGTTGTAAGGTTTAACAAAATGTGTAAATTTCACACAGCACATCCTGTATATTTGAAAATGTTTTTTAAGTGCGATCCTAAGTATGTTTTAGCAAACTGTGCCAACGATTTTTTTCTAATGAGACCACCCTGTATAAAACAATTAAAAAAAGTGCAGAATTTGCATATGAAATATTTGAAGTCAGTCATTTTTGTTGAGGAGTGAGCGAGACGTCGTTATGCATATGTAAATTAGCGTTATGTAAATCGACATGTTTAAACATTTTAAGACTTTTGAAATGAAATAGATTATGCCATGATTGATGTAGAGCCTAACACGCAAACTGAAGATTTGCAATTCTGTTATTAACATACTAATGAAGTCTGAAACATGTCTATATGTTTCGCATTTTTAACAAAATCGATTTTACAACAAAAAAAATTTAATATTTAATACAGAGTGTTTCCGAGACGTATAGTTTACGTGAAGAGGCTTGATTAATGTTGAGTGAAAACTTTAGACTCCAAGTTCCTTTAATAATTGTAAAATAAAAAAAATATTATTTTTTTGTTTTATTAAAACATTTCTAGTGTTGTTTTTACAACACAATTAAAATTCACTACGAAGGATGGAAGTTTCACTGTATTTTCCTCTTACCTTACAGTTGGTCCGACTTGGTTGCCATCCTCACTGACGGCCCTCTGCGCCAGGAACCTGGGCAGGTCCCCCGGTTCCGAGTGCTCCAGAAGTGCGCACATGGGCTCGTCCTGGCTGCACAGCCCCACCACCCGCGCCAGATTGGGGTCTCGGAGTCCCGCCAGCCAGCTGGTCTCCCTCAGGAACTCGTGCCTGCAACGCCATCGCGTGAACCAGATGATGCCTACTTAGGCAAATCGAAGGGGACTCGCGATACGTGCATGCGGTACAGGGCAAATAAAGACAATAAGAGGATTCATGCATGTAACAGGGGATGCTGGCCGTCTCTTTGATTCGATTTGCGGATGTGAATCATAATGTAAGTCAATACGTGACGGCGAGCCACGAATGTTGAACAGGCTAAATCAGATTTGGGCGATACCAGGAGTGGATGAGGCATCGGTCGTCGAAATTTATTAATTTGCAGCTCGGCCGTTAGATTTAAACGGTGGGATTAATGAAAAAGTGGAATCGGGTGAATTCGTGTTAGTATTAATGGGATTAAAATGTCATAATTACAGACATCGGAGTAATGGAGATTATCGTGTCCATGGAGGCTCTATGGCTTTACTCTTTGAAATGGGGCAATTACTGTAATGAATCATCCGGTAAATGCAACGGAGAGCTGAAATACATCAATTTAACGATGGTACAATGGAGTGATGTATTTGAGTAATTTATTACGTTTCTGAAGACCTGGCTTGCAAAGAAGGCTGTGTGTGTATATTCCAAATAATGACAGTACTATTTCATCTGGTGTTTGCCTTGAAATGGAGTAATTAACATTCGAATTTAGCGGTGTTTGTACAAAGAACGTTGTTTATTTACTAGTTGCGGCATATATTTGACAGGTGAAATGAGTAATCAATTTTGGTTTTAATCGTTTAATCGAAAAAAATCGTCTAGTAAGCTATGGAATTTATTTGACGCTTTATTTGACAGTTATTTGATCGTAAATGTCAAATTGATTAACATGAACAAGGAATGCCAACATAATTTTTTAATATTGAATTTTAAAGGTTGTTAGACATTTAAAATCGGCAAAAATTTGTAGCAAGTTCTCTTGCCTCTGAAGCACACGGTATATGTACGCGAAAACACACTGTTCGCCTTCAAGACTTTTTTAGGGATAAATTATTTTTTATACGTTATAGAGCTCTCAGTTAACGTTATTGACCACAAAGAATTTTATATCTCATCTCTAGGAGCGGAAGATATTTTTTTTCAGTTCAAAAGTGCAATATCCTTGAAATTTCAAAGAGATCAGTCTGGCAGTTTTAAAGATTATCTATTTATTAAATATTCAAGAGAGGGACGACAAATGAGAAATTTGTACTTTCGTGATTTATGACCAAGGAACTACGAAATCAAACCTTTAGTAGGAATATCATACCCCAGTGCTGTTCGTAATTACATTTATATAGTTTTCAGTCATTTCAACTGTATGTTTCAAAATTGAGAAACTAGGATTTTATGGTCCTTAAAAAATTCAGTGACTTTCTAATCTGTCTTTTATTGTTCATGTGATACGTCAAATGGGTTTAAAATTTCGTGTTTTTTGCCGTTTCGTTGTGATAGTTATTATTATATTGATTAAATGTTTACTATTCACTATCTGTCACACATCTTGATCATAACCTAATTTTACCAAGCTTTTCGGTGTATTTTCCTATTTTGTTACTTTTTTACTTTCCGACTGTAAGCTAAGGAAGTATTGTAATAGGGTCCATCCGATCTTTCAAGTTTTCTGAACGTTATATGACCCTTAGAGTACGAAACAATAAGTCTGTCATTTTCGTCTCTCTGTATGTCTTCTGTCTGTACGGATTTTTATTATTAACAATAGATTGACGTTATCCCCAAAATTTATAACAGTAAATGTTGTTCATGAGTCCGTGACTGCATTTTTAGACTATTTTTTTGTAAGCAACTGTTTTTTTCTGCATATGCTTGCTTCTTTCGGTTACTTTTCTGCAAACGACTGCTTTTATCGGTTGTTTTTGTGCAGACTGTTTTTTTTTCTTTGGTAGGTTTTGTACAAGTCCGATGCGGCGTTGCCACTTTATTACAATTTTTTTTATTATTTTAGCAATGCAAGAAGTCACAAAAACAATGGCCGATCACAGGGCGAACGCTCGATAAAAAGTAGTGGGGCTCCTAGTTCAGGTCAAACAGGGTCAAACTGAGCTAGAAGCCCCACTATTTAACTACTGATGTTATTTTTAAGATATGAGTTGCAACATTTTATAGAGAGATAAATAGAGGTCCGCGTTTTATTATAGTAGCAAATAAAAAAATATATAGAGTGTTTATTAAAAAAAATTAACCATTACATTAATATTTAAATGTTTATTTTGAAGTTTCTTTAACTAAAACAGACTGTATTTTATTATTACGTCTTACTCAATTTTTTGTTTTCTTCCTTTGAATATGTCGGTATATTACAGAAGTAAAAAAATCTATCAACTTTAATTATAAAAAATATTCTACAAAAAAGAAGATAATAAAAGACAAAACAAGATGCTGTAATAAAATACAGCGTATTCTGTTTGAAAAAACTGAAATATCGATATTTGAAAATTCCTATAATTTAATTCTTTTTATAAATATTCTGTATATTCAAATGCAATTTTATTTCTATCAAAATAAAGCTCGTATCCTTATTTATCTCTCCACAAAATATTGTTACTCAGCTTTTAAAAATAACCTTATGGCAATTTTTTTTGAAGCTTTCAATTGCAGAAAAATTAAAAAAAATCGAAAAACTTGGCAGTGTTACATGGGAATTCGAACATAATCGATAGTTATAATTTTTTTTTTGAGATAATGTTGTCTCCTTGTGGATGTGCTTTGTTTTACTTTGGGTTGAATGAAAACCACCTTTTCTCTTCACTCTGTATTTAAATTAACGTTACCAGTTTCGGGTTTTAGAAACCCTTCATCAGATATACAACATTTTATAACATATAATAACATTCAGTAAATTGAATAACAATGATCTGGGTATATTAATAAAGTTGGCCAAGGTGCTTCGTGGACCATTTTTTGCATTTTTAAGAAATCCACTGTTTAAATAGTGGGTAACGGGACCAGCATTTGCATTGAACACTCTATCTCCGTTCTTCAATATTTAACATTTATTTTTCTGAAAAACGTTGCACCCGTTTATATTTTTTGTAATTTTTGAACTCCTTTATTGTATTTTCTGACGGGTTGTTGTTTCAAGTCGTTTTAGGTAAACCATTATTTAGTATTGATTGAAGTACTACTTCATGAAAGAAATATATAAAGTAGAACATTTTTCAACTCAGTAGGTGTTGTGTTATGAACTTTATAGTATTGCAAAATGATTTTCCATTAAGAGAATTCCCAGGTTGTAATTTTATGTGTTGGTAAAGTCGTTACTTAGCTCTAAATGAAACTAAAAAACTATCTTAATTACCACACCATTTAGATTTACTCTCCAATAAATTTAGTTATAATTCAACCAGATTATAAATGTATAAAATGTAAACAAATAGCGTTTGCGCTATCAAACTGCCAAAGTTATAAAACACCAGCAACAAAAATTTGTTTGCGTCCGTACGGTTTGTTGTTTACTAAATGCTAATATATTTGCGGAGTCTTTTATGCGAAATAAAACAGAACTGTGGACAATATTCACGTATATTTTGCTATAACTGTCAACGGGAATTTACCATCAATTCCGTAAATAATAATTTTTGCGCACAGCCATTTTTCATTTTGTAAATATTTATTGAGTTATTATCGTCGTGGTCGGGGCTTTATTTTCCATTTTATATTTTATACGTTTCCAATATAACGATGGAATTTATGATTTTGTCAAAATCACCAGGAATGTTCGATTGTGGATTTTATAATAATATAAGCCGGAAATATGGCTAGGTTTTTTTTGTAAAAATTTGCATCTGCATTCTTATGCAAGGTGAATGGTCCATTTATTGGTGCTGGGCACATTTCCGACTACACCCAGGCCTTGGATACGGTCGTATCCAAGAAGCCCGAAATGAAGCCCTTCGAGCAGCTCGTCTTCCTCAATAGCTTCATCGGCAGCATTCTGAACACGTCCTGGCGGCCCGTCAAACTGAATTATTTTATCCAGTGTGATGATTATTATTAGAGTACAAATTTAGTAAAAGAAATAAATGCACAAATTGCACAAAATATTTTATGAGGTCATGTTGCTAGTGCCCTCGCTTTTTCATTTAATCGCAGTAGAACGCAATATTTTAATGAAATTTTACTAATAAAAACTCACTAAAATCGACCGCACTACCAACAATCTCATAAAATATTTTGTGCACATTGTGCATTTATTCCGTGTAATTTGTTCTACAATAATCATGATCATGACATGAATACAAATAATTAACTTTGAGTTGTTCATTGATTTCTGAGTGAGAATCGAGGAATAATTTGTAAATTCAGTTTGACATTTTTTTTTGTTTATTAAAATTTTCACAAAAGAAGGATTAAGGAATGTAACAATACATGCAGTGTTTTTTGTTAAGATTAGTTACCTTTTTGTGTCTCCGCACCCTCTCCACAGGCTTTTAACAATAACTATTTGCTTTTTGTGAAAGGACGATCCCCCGTTAAAATCCGGAAGTCCCTCCGCCTCACACAAATGCACCTGCAACAAAAAGTAATTCAATTAGTGTTTTTTGGAGTGTGAATGCGTTGCAAGTGCAACTGATGTTCCGTCGTAGCATTTTGCTGCACCACGACCCAATAAAGAAAATGAAAGCGGCGAACGGTTGATTGCATCCGCAACCCTGTCTGCTCCTCGAACTTTGAAAAGAGTCACATTTCTCCTCTTATAACGTATCGTATAAATGGCTCTCTATTAGAATTATAGGTTTTCGATTAGAACTCCGGAGAAATATGTGTTTGCGTAAAGCTTTCTTTGCTTCAATTAAGCGATGAAAGCGTCGATACATTAAAAACGAAAACACTTCGGGAGCTAATATCCGGAAATATGCACCCTTTTGTGCCTAGCCCTGCTCCCATCCATAACCCAGCAGCACAAGTTTGATTAAGGTGATTACGCATTATAGAAATAGCGGCGCAGACAGTGATTTATGCGTGTCCCAAAGGACGATAGCTGGAAAGTAATTGGTAGATAGTGCAAAGTTGTTTACCGATACAAAGGGATAAACAATATATGCTTTCCCTTTTAAGACGGCTGAAAGACAGCCATATTGGTTTTCCTGGGACCCACCCGAGGGCCCAATAAGCGAGGACATCGACGTCTTCCTGCCGCTTTTGCGTCAATATTGACAAAGGAGCGTTCGTTCAGAGACGTACTTTTACGCAAAAGGACAAATCGGTAATAATGCGCCCTCGCTAAAATTAAAATCCCCGAATTGCCCTCGACACATAAAAATACAAGCGCCACCTGGGCTCGGGCTGTAAAAAGTGTTTATTGTGTTCGATTCATTATACCTACATTAAACTCGAACAGTAAAATTCCACCTTGGAGGGCATAATTTGTTTTAATGGCCCGAATGTGCAAGGAGGACTGTAAAAAGCTGGATTTACGCTAAGGGAAATTGTTTTATGTGGTCTTGGCGGATGACGTGCAGTTAGCGTAAGTGCATGCGAACTAGAAACGGAATGAATCAAGGTGATGCGACTTAATGGTGAGAATGAAGTTGTTAGAACTTTGATGTATGTGATGCATATGTAAATAAAATTTCGCTGCACTGGTTGAGGTTTGCACGAACGTTTCGATGAAATTGTGAAAGACAAATAGCAACTTATTTGAATGTAAAGATTTGGATTGTTATTATAATTGAGTTTCTTCGGAAATTCAAATTAAGTTTTGTATTGTTTGACTAAGTGGTTGCTGAGTTACTCTTCCGAGTCACTTCGGAGGGTTTAATTTCCGGGACTGTCTATAAACCTTGATAGAGTTGGCCTATAGCGGAAATTATTAAAGGGTCAACATTTAGAATGTCAAATTTTGAGTGTTTTTAGTAACGTCTTTTTATTGTTTTAACACTTTGTGTTAATTGTAGACATAATTTAAAATTGACGGTACGATTCTTCTACAGCTTAGATTTTTCCGTGGAATTTATAAAGAACAGTAATTGTCAATTGACAATTTAAAAAACTTCGTTATTTCGACAAGACTTATTTCATCACTGAAGTACAGCCCTATAAATCGAGTTTCTTTGAAAAATTGTATATTTTTTTGGGGATTTTTGTTGTCTGATAAACTTTATAAAATGATGTAAATACCACGCCCGCATTTCTTTTACCTGAATTTTTCAATTCTTCATCTATCCATTTTTTTGTTTTTTCAGTTTTTCAATTCTCCAACACTCGAATTTTTCAGTTTTTAGATTGTGCAATTTTTCGATTTGTTTCTAGAGTTTTCAATTTTTCGATTTGAAATTTTTTATTTCGGTTTTTCACTTTCAATTGTTCGAGTCTTGGTGTTTCGATTTTATTTTTTTCGCTGTTTGCCACTTTTCGAGTTTTCAATTTCTAATTTTTCAATTTTTCGATTCTTCAATTTTTCGATTTGCAATTTTCCAGTTTTTCATTTTTCTTGTTTCTTATATTTTACGATAAGCATTTATTCGAGTTTTCATTTTTAAATTTTATCAGTTTCCTGATTTTCCAACTATTAGATGTTTCAATTTTTAGATTTTGTATTTACGATATTTTATAATAATAGTGAATTTATTTGTAATTGCATGAGTTTTGAATTTTCAATTTTTCGTTTTGGTTTTTTTCCTTTTCTACAATTTTTTCATTTTTCAATGTTCCGATTTTATAATGTTTTCATTTTTACTTCCCGAGCGTGAGCGAAGGAAGTATTGTAATCGAGTCCTTCGGCCCACTCTATACTTTTACGTTTTCTCGACTCCTAGACTACGAAGAAATAGGTCTCCCGGTTTCGTCCGTCTGTCTGTTTGTCTGTCTGTCTGTCTATCTGTCCGTCTGCTGCGTCTTGATTTTTTCAATGTTCCGATCTTATAATTTTTTGTTTTTTCAATTTCAATTTTTTCAATTTCTTTTTTTCCATTTTTTGATGCGTCTCTGCGAACCTGCATTTTCGAATTTTTCAGTTTATCGATTTCCCAATTTTCGGATGTTTCAATTTTTAGATTTTGCAATTTTTCGATCTGCAATTTTATGAGTTTTCAATTTTTAATTTTTGAGTTTTTATTTTTTTTGTTTCTTCTATTTGACGATATGCATCTCTTCGAGTTTTCATTTTTAAATTTATCACTTTCCTGATGTTCTAATTTTTAGATGTTTTAATTTGTACATTTTGCATTTTCAATGTTTTAAGATAATAATATTAATACTGAATAAATTTGCAATTTCACAAGTTTTCAACTTTTTATTTTTCGTGTCGGAATTTCATGTTCTTTTTTTTTAATTTTTTCATTTTTACTTCCCGAGCGTAAGCGAAGAAAGCATTGTAATCGGGTCCTTCGGCCAACTCTCTACTTTTACGTTTATCTTTAACGTTTCATGACCCCTAGAGTACGAAGAAATAAGTCTCCTGTTTCCGTCTGTCTGTCTGTCTGTCTGTCTGTCTGTCCGTCTGTCCGGCTGTCTGTCGTCATGGATTTTTATTAGACAGATGATAAAGTACTGGGCCGATTGTTGTCAAATTTTGTATTTATATTAGGAATTTCATGTAGATGGTAAAACGCCAACCAACATTTGTCTAATCATCCCCACCAATAATGTGATGACATCACTTCAAAATTGTACATAGTAAATAAGTTTTAAATTATATGAAATAACATAGTCCTACATATGCAGTTTAGAGTACGTAGGTGTTTTGAATGTTCCGATTTTATAATTTTTTTGTTTTTTCAATTTCAGTTTTTTCAATTTGTCGTTTCTTCCATTTTCCAACTTTTGGATGTTTCAATTTTTAGATTTTGCAATTTTTCGAACTGCAATTTCATGAGTTTTCAGGTATTAATCTTTCAATTTTTCATTTCACAATTTTTCGATTTGCAATTTTTCGTTTCGGCTTTTTATTTTCTTTATTTTTTTAATTTTTCTAGGTTTTATTTCAGTATGTATCTAATAATAATTATATTTTTTTAAATGTTTCACTTTTTCAATTTTACGATATTTAATTTTTCATTTTTTTGGATTTTTCAATATCACACAGTTTTTCGGCTTACAATATTGATGATACCATAATTTTTGCATTTTACTATTTTTAGATTCAATTCGTTTTTCTTTACAATTTTTGGATTAATTTTTTTTAAGTTTCTAGGTTTTTAGTTTTTCAACGTTTCGATTTTGCGTTTGTTCGGTTCTTCGATTTGCAATTTTCGATTTTCCACCTTTTCGATTTTGCAGTTTTTGATTTTTTCACTTATTCGATGCTTCAATTGTTCCGATTTTTTTTGTTTTTCGATTTTTAACATTTTGATTTTTCAACTTTACCAATCAAAAAATGGAAAATTTGCAAAATTGTAAACTTGAAAATTCAAAAATGAGAAAACGAAGAGGTATAAAATGGAAATGAAAAATCTAAAAATTGAAAATCAAGAATTTAAAAGACGAAAAATTGAAAAATCGAAAGACAAAAAATTGGAAAATATAAAAATCGAAAAAAGGAAATACTGTAAAATCGAAATATTGAAAATTAATATAATCGGAAAATCAGATAATGGGGAAATTCAAAAATTGCAAAATTGAAAAAGGGGAAAATCGAGGAATTGAAAAAGCAAAGATTGAAAATTTGAAGAATTGAATATGTAAATGAAAAATTATAAAATCGAAAGAAACATTGAAAAATAAAGGAAATGAAAAAACGAAAAGTTGTAATATACAATCGAAAAAATAAAAATTAAAAAATCGGGAAAATGAAAAATAAACATTAAGAACTTGAGAACAAGAGGAAAAGAAATATTGGAAAAAAATTGTAATGAGAAAAATCAAAATTGAAAAACTGCAAATTGAAAAACTGAAGAAACAAAAAATTGAAAAATTGAAAAAAATACATGTTGCAAAAACGAAAAATTATAAAAGTAAAACATTAAAAAATGGAAAAATTGTGAAATTAAAGACAACAATAATTTATTAGCTTACTCTCGGAAAGTAAAAACAAAATAGACATTGACTACTTTATCGTCTTTAGAAACAGTTTTATCATGATCTACAGAATCTATAGAAAATTTGTTTCCTGATTTTTCCACTCTTTGTGCGTTTACTGAAAACCCAGTATTATCATTGTGTACCTAACATTTCAATTATTCACGTTCATTCGACCAGGGAAAATATCGCATTACAGAGTTTTCCTGTATCCTTTGGATGAGTCCCTGCATCCATTTTTTGTCGGTACAATTTCCAAACGACTGCCATTTTAAAATACACTGCATTCCAATAAAAGCACAAACTATAAGAGCCCGTTGCAGCGAATTTATTCGAGGAAATCGGGAAAACGCTCAAAAATCTCCACTAATGCGGAACATCGATAAGGGCTATATTCGTTCGTTACATAATCGAAACAGCCATGCCGTGTGCAATATGCAAAGATGTAAGTTTAATGTAACAGTTATTCCATTCAGTGTTATTACATGGGCGGGTCCGAAAGCTCCATACATTGGATTTTCCGGTATAAACCCGGACCGCCGGCGCCCCGGA